CGTGACACACCTACTATTTTCTCTAATGATCAAAACAACCACCACAACACCAGTAACCACCACAACAACACAACGTCTTTCCCTCTTTCTTTCAACTTTTTCCCTTTTAACACCATGTTTTTATTTTCTACCCTATCCTACTATTACTACCTTTTTTCTTAAGAATACCACAGCCACCTGACCAAAAGCTAAGTTTGCTTAAGATCATAATTGAATAAAATAAAATAAACCGACGGTGATTTACCGAAACAGCAAAAAATATAGATCATCTTTATTTTGTACTTGAGTTCTCTGGAAAGCATTTCAGACTACGTAAGGCAAGGTAAAGGTTGATTGGTTGAGCTGGGTGGGAGGAAGAGGGGCAAGTGATTTCGTTCTTTCTGTGTACACACATTACAATTTTTCACAGGGATCAGCTGCCAGTGGATTTACGCTCTCTTTTGTTTGTTTGCTTTGGTGGACAAAACTCTAACCAACAAAAGGTGAAACCAAAAGAAAGGAGGGAATTTTCGATTTTGTGAGCAATCAGGCGGTGGGTGCTCAGAAGACGTAAAGAAAAGGAAGAAGGAGGTAAAAGGGACGAGAATGGCAGCCACCACAACAGCGCGAAGACAAATCAGTGTGAAGAAGTGTAGTGTGTTCAACCCTCTTCTGCTGATATCACATTTTGTAGACGAGGGGTGATGAGTAGGTCACACTGCCACCCACTGACTGCCTGCTGCTGCTGATGGCCATCATTTTCTGAAGGAAGGTGTGTGTGTTCACAGAAAGTTTTGGAGAAAGAAAAGAAGGTAAAAATAATAAAAACAATGATGATGATGATGCTGGTGGTGATAGTGGTGATTGAGTTAGTGAGGGCGAGCCAAGGGAGAGACTTTTGGAAAGAGTGCAGTAAAATCCTTCAAGTCGCCGACAAAACAGACTAAACAGGTAAGTAAGGTACCAGAGCAGGGTGAGAAAGGATAGAGAGAGGGGATGGGAAATGCTATCAAAGGATCACAACAATTGAGAAACAAAAAGCGAGAGAACTGGAATGGGCAAGAGAGTGCTGAGAGGAGTGGTGGTGGCGATGAGAGAAGGGAGCAAAGGCAGTCATCAGTTCATCACATCCACAGCTCCGATTTTACCAACTTTTGTCGAGAAAAGAGAAAGAGAGCATTAAGTGCGCTGAGGAGTTAACGAAGACGAAGTAGAAGAAGAAGAAGAGTATCACAATTGAGTTCCAGGAAACGAGAAGAAACGCGGAAGGAAGAAAGGGAAAACTTTTACCGCCACCCAACTCGAAGACAAGGAGAGAAGGCTGAGTGAGAGAAAACATCAACGATATTTGTACCATGAGCTCGACCAGATTGAGGTAAGATTGATAATAAATATTAGTTCAAGTAGGTCACCACCACTACTTGAACTTAATGTTCGTTCGGTGGTAAAAGAGGAGATACCTGAGCGAGTGAAAAAAAAGTTTGTTAAATATGTTCTCATTTAAAAATCTTTCAGTGTTTCTCACCCTTCACTCCTGAGCACCTCCTCTTCGGTTGCCCTGGAGAGGACGGGATCATCACACTTGCACCACTGGTCGCCGTTGTGGCGAATGAAGGCGGTGTAGTGGCCCGTCTCCAGGGTGCCACTGTGATTGACCACCGCAAAGAGGGTGTAGATTCTGAAAGAAAAACAGACGCTCGTAAACTCAAACAAAAACGGAAAGTATAATTCAAAACTTACTGTCCTTTGGCCGATTTTTTAACTCTTCGGCCTTTAGCTTTTTCTTCATCCTCCTCCTCTTCCTCGTCTTCCTCTTCGTCGTCCTCCTCATCATCTTCTTCTTCCTCTTCAACAGAGATATCATCATCATCATCATCTGCGGTTCTACCATTTGTGGTTCTACCGTTTGCAGTTGCATCAGATTGATCAGTTGCATAATCATCCTCATCAGCTTTCATCGGCTCTTCATTCAGTTCTCCATTCATTACTTCATTCATCTCTTCAATAAACTCTCCATTTAGTTTTTCATTCCCCTCTCCATTAAGTTGATCCTTCAGTTCTTCATCCATCGCTACATCCAGCTCCTCCGTCTCGTTATCATTGTCCAGCATCCTTGCAGTGCACGACAAAATGTCTTCGTCGTTCAGTTCGCCATACCTACAGTCTCCATTTGTCAGATGAGGAGTCGGCGAAATTCCGTTGGCGAGTCCATTGCTCAAACTTCTCACGCGTGGTGCTTCTTCTAAATCTGTATCATCATCACTTTCTTTTTTTCTTTTTCTTACTCTTTCTTCGTAATATTCTTCCTCTTCGTATTTTTCTTCCTTTTCGTCTTCTTCAACTTCTCCTCCACCGGCACCGATGACTCTGGTGGTAAAGGGCGTAATGTCGAGGTGCATCGGAAAGGAGATAAAGGTGGAGATCTTCTTGTTGAAGCGACTCGCCGTCTGCTCGAAACGCTATAAAGAAACAAAACCGATTAAAGTTAAGTTCACAAGCAAGCCCTTTCTTTGGACCAACCTTCAAGTGGAAGCTCGCCACAAGGGGCAACTTCTTCAGCGACAGTCGCTTCGTCGACTCCTGGTAGCTCTGGCAGTTTTTGCACTTGATCTTCGCCGAGCTGCCCAGGTGCTCCGTTCGGGTGAAGAGGGTGAGGCAGTCTTTGAGGGAGGTGGGCTGCTCCGTCGGCAGCCGGCCATTGCTGTCCAGGTGCGTGTTCACCAAGTCCAGACTAAAGTCCCAGATGGGATCGACCACCGAGCTGACGCCACTGGAATGATGAGCAGTGTTAAAAAAATTTATTTGAAAAACGCTTTTCAGCAAAAAGGCTTACCCGCAAGCCTGGCAAATGACGTCCGACTGCAGAGTGCCGCTGAAGATTTTGTCAATGAAGCAGTCACATTTTCCCTTTGATCGGTCGTTCATGCCTAGTAGAAAAAAAGATGAGCGGTAAAAGTGTACATCTTAAACTTAATCTTTCTTAGAATTTACCCGAATGCCGGTGAAGAATGTCCAGCGTAGAGATGAAGAACTCATGCGCGTCCTGCTGCTCGTAGCCGGCCAGGTGCTTTGCATGCGTCCACACCAAGTGCAGCAGCTGATAGGGAATGTACGGGTCCTTCTTGCCGCTGTAAAACTGCGCAACAGAGAAAACAGAGTTAGATTGAGAGTATCTAAACAACAGATTGCTTACCTCCTGCATAATCTCCGACATTGTACAGACTAGACACTGCTTCTTGGTGTAGTCCTCAATGCACTGGTGGTCTTCCATGCTGAGAAAGTAGTCCCTCAGCATGGGCGTGTGCACCAGCGCCTGGATGATGCAGTTCATGAAGCAGGTGCTGCCGAGGTTGATCAGTCCGCGAAGGCCTAACAAATGTATGAAAATTTGCTTGTTTTGGTTGCTGTCAACTTAAAATAAACAAATCCCTCCTACCTATCTCGCCTCGGTCGAGAAAGATCTTCTCCTCGCCAAAGTTTCTGATGTAGTTTTCGGTGTCAGTGAGGGGCTGGTATTCGGTGTAGATGAGTGACTTGTTCTTGGCGTTGCCCAGCAGGGTGTAGTGCCGGTGTAGCGTCATAAACTGGTCGTCAAAGATGTACGTCTGACAGCGGAAGCAGTAGACGTGACCGTGCAGAACGTCCATTGCTGTTTCAAAAAGATAATAAGATCGAGGTAAGTGAAAGTCCGGTTAAAATTTTAGACAGCAAAAAACTGTACCTAGGTTGTGGGTGTCATTCTCGTAAAAGTGCTCCTCCGCGTGGTGATTCTCAAAACAGGCGCACACCTTACACTCCATGCAAATGTGAATTCGACTTAGAAGCTCGTAGGTTTGGTAGCACTCGCGGTGGTGACAAAAGAAGATTGCAACCTGATTATAGATGAACAATGTTCAATTAGTAAACTGAATTCGACAAGAGCACAAAAGTAGGTAAACAAAAAACGAACCTTGTTCTCCGCCGCCGCGTGGAAGGGCTTACCCCTACTGGGCAAGCCAAAGATCATCCTGAGCATCTTGCGGTACTTCTTGGCGCCTCGCTGGTGCTCCTTGAAGTGCTCCAGGTGCCTGCAGGTGCCGCCCTCGCTGAGCTGCTCCACCGGAAAGAGGCGCGTCTCCTCCTCGACGGTGTTCTTCTCGGTGAGCGCCAGTATCTGGAGGACGTCTTCCTCCTCGACCACCAGCTTCAGCGGGTCCTCCACCGCCTCCTGAAACTCATTGTCGTCATCGTCGTCGAACTCCTCCTTAAACTCCTGCTTAATCTCCTGCTTCGCTCTGACCACCGCCGCCGTCGGTTTCCGGCGAACCTTAGGTCGAGTGAGGAGTCGTGGCTTGCCGCGACTGATCGGCTTTATCGGGTAGACGGGAACAGAGGGAACCGTCAGTGGGGGCGCCAAAAAGACGCCCTGACTCTGTTCTATCTGAACGTCCATCATCATTGTGGCGTGGACATGCTGCTGCAGGTGGTGGGGGGTGGTGATGATGGAGAGGCTGTGCTGGAAACAGCGATAATATTGTGGTGATGGTGCTGATAAAGGTGAAACAGATGGAGGCTCTTTAAACTTATAAATCTTCCATGTTTGCAGCTTGTTGGCGCTTTCAAAAGTTGAAAAGATGCAGGGAGGTTTGTAAAACAAGCTGAAAACTAATTAGAAGAGCCTTTCTTAATTTTTCTTTGACTGCTTATTCAGTCACCCACAACACTGTGGACATTTAAATCAAAACGATGAGGAGGACTAAGATGTAAATACAACGGCCAAATCGGCTGTTCAGTCTTCGTCCAGGTTTCGTCGACGATAAAGCTAGCTGATTAAATGGAAGGGGCCAGGCTCTTTTCAAAGGTGGGTGAAGATCCAAGAAACCAGATGGTGAAGGTAATCGGGAAACCCGAACGACGAGATGAATGAACAAAAAAGTGGGAACCCAAAACACAACAAACGCAGATGACACAAAAGAGAAAGAGAACGAGGATCCTACAGAGCAGCCTGCATTGCAATCTCTCTCTCTCTTTCTCAACACACACACAACACAAGAGCGGCAAGCGGCGGCGGTGGCGACAGAGAAGGAGAAAGCGCAGGCACGTTTCCAACAGAAGAGACGCCAAATAAAAAGAAGAGATTTTTTGGTCGTCTGCTCGCTGCTGCTGCTGCCGGAGAGCACAAGAAGGAGAAGGAGAAAGGGCTTCGGCATAATTCGGATCATTTAGCGTCTTCCTTGAGGTTTCACTGATAACAAAAACAGATTTGACTGAAAATAAACCGTTTTTTAGGACTTTTACTGTCCCTGTTCCAACTTCCCTTTTAGTTGTGAGTTAGGACAAAATGGCTATTATTTTATCGGCCTGGTTACCTTTTTTTATATCAGCGCAACTGAGCTCACGAGGTGCCAACCAGCCTTGTTAGTAACGCCATGTTTGAAGGCGCAAAACGCCAATTTGTGGAGTTTGTGAGTTTTTCCCGAACCTTGACCCCACTTGTTGTCAGAAAAGAAAATCGGCTTTTATTTGTACATTTTATAAATGTATTGCACATATCTGTAAACTTAGTGGTTGGTACCCCTTTGTACATTGTGTCTTACAAATGCTAAATAGGAAAAAGTACCTTCCCCCTCGGGCAGTTACTGCGAGCTGAGAAAGCTCTTGGCCAGGTTGATCTCACTCTCGCTGAGCGGTCGCACGTCGCCCTCCACCTTGATGACGGTGTACCGAGAGGAGGAGGCGGCCGCGGCGGCGGCAGCGGCGGAAAAGGACGGACCGCCGACGCCGCTGCCGGCACCGACGCCGCCCACACCGGCACTCTGGGCCATCTTCTTCGAGCCCAGGCGGAGAAAGGTGGGCGAGCGAAGGTAGGGGGCAGCATCGGCAGCACTGTCACCTCCAGCTCCACCAGCTCCACTTCCTCCGGCAGAGCTTCCCGAAACTGCTGCTGCTGCAGCACTCGACTTGGAGAAGGACTTGTGTCGCTTGTTTGGACGAATCACCGAGAGCAGCAGCGATGGCTGGTAGTGATGCCTGTTTGAGGTGGTTGCTGTTGCTGCAGTTTGCTGCTCCGAGAGGAAGGAACTGCCCGTGTAAGCATTGTGAGTATTCGTAGCGGAGGAAGGACAGCTCGAGGCAGGACCAGTCTGCAGATCCTCGTACTGACTGACGCCGAAGCGGAGGTAGAAACGGTCGGTGAGGGGCGAGTACACCGAGGGAGCACGGTAGCTGCGAAGGAAGTTGCTCGGCTGCCAGCGCGCCTCCCGGTACCGGCAAAAGGCGTTCCAGTGAGGGCCGGGGCGAAGAGGATGGGAATGCCTGGCAAAGGAGGGCGACGCAAAAGTGCCCACAAGTTCCACCCCACTGTCGTTGCTGAACTGGTGCTGGACAGCGGTGGNAAAGGCGTTCCAGTGAGGGCCGGGGCGAAGAGGATGGGAATGCCTGGCAAAGGAGGGCGACGCAAAAGTGCCCACAAGTTCCACCCCACTGTCGTTGCTGAACTGGTGCTGGACAGCGGTGGGGTAGTAGGCCGCCCCCTGCTCTCCCTTTCTGATCAGCTCACTGATGGCCGTCTTCGTCAGCTGCATCGACTGGAAGTAGTTGTGGTCGTGCAGGTGTCGACTCGCATCATCTTCTTCCTCTTCCTCTTCTTCCTCAACACTGACAGGGTTGTCATGCTCAAAGTGGTCCTGATCACAACGACCACTTTCTTCTCTTCTTCCACCTCGTCGTCGTCTGTTGTGGAGCACGTCGGGCACCACCTGGAGCTGGTCGTCGCGCACCTTTCCACTGGCAATCAGCCGCTTGTCCTCCTGCTGACACTTCGCCAGCACCTTCTCGCGAATCAGCAGGCTGAGGTGGCGGCGAAACTCCCCGGCAGTCATCCGCTTGTTCGGGTCCGTCACAATGAGCCGGCTGATGAGCGTGCTCGTCTTGTGGTAGATCACCATTGAGCAGGTCTCCGTCTTCGCGGGCTGGTCCTCCGCCGAGTCCATCCACACCGCCACGGCGGGCGGCAGGCTGTACTCGCCAATGTTGATCTTACTGAAGAGCTCGGGAAAGGTCTCCGCGTAGAAGGGGAACTTGCCAAAGAGGAGCGTGTAGAAGATGATGCCCATTGCCTGTGAAGGAAAGTAATAATGGTGAACACCAACAGTCGTGGTCATTC